ATTGATTTAGTGGTTTGAAGCAGTGGTTGGAGCAGCAGACAGTCCCACTCTGCTTCCTCAGCTGTCAATTCTCATTCTCTTGCAAGAATGGTATGTGCTAGGCGAACCCATGGTGTAGATATATATTCGGTCTGCAGTCTGATGGGCCACTTTGAGAGAAGGGCCCTATTCTGGATTTCAGTGTCAATGACCCCTAGGCACCCCACCTTTTTTTTTTTTTTTTTTAATTCAAATATATGAAAAAATATAGAAGATTATGCTATATCAGCTATTCTGGCCTCCTAATCCTAGTACAACTCCTAGCCCTCCCTGTACCAGGACACTGTACCTCAGAGACAAAACCAACCTAACCAATCATCAACCATAGCTGATCTCTTCTCGCCTCCTTGCAGCCCCCCCCCGGTTCACCACTGGAATGCCTTCCACCCTCAGCAAACCCCAGATCTCTCTACGAGGCCTCACACTCCTGCCATTTACAGGTTACAGGGCAACGCCCCAGCTCCGGCCAGCGTCGTTCTGGCATCGGCAAACCAAGGGCACAGAACAGAGCAACTCAGTAGATATCAGTCCAGGTTCAACCATCTCTGAAGTCCTATATCCCAAATGTGGAAGAATGCTAGATGCTGCCAAAATTTCAGAACACCAAAAAGCTCAATATAACAATAATCAGATGATGATACTAATGATGTGATGATGATGATGATGAATATGATGATAGTCCCCCCACCTGTTTTTACTCTGTGATCTTCCACCACACCAGTTTAGATATGCATGAGGGGGTGTTGGAGTCCCCTTTCCAGATAAATTTGGAAAGAAGTTGGTGAATTAGTTGTACTGAGTTATGAGACAATTGTGTTGAACTATAGGATGTACCAGATAGTAGAGAGGATACATAAATTAGAAACTCCTGCCCGTCTGAAGAGGGACAAGGATTTCCTCTTTGACCATTTCGTGCAGGAGTTCCTAATCCTTTGGTCGATGATCGAGTCCTGGGTCTTAGTACAGTCCGAGAATGAAACCAGGATCCCTAGGTATAGCTCAAAGTCTGTGTTGTTAAGGTTCTTGATACCCCATTCCACGGTTAGTTGCTCCCCATTTGGCGTTAGTGCTACCGATCTACCCCACCTCACTTTCATTTCTGATGCCGCTTCATATATAGTAATGCGTTCTCTCAGAGCATTCAGGGAGCCCGACAAATTCTCCGAAATCGCTGAAAAGTCATCTCCTAGTGCAGACACTTCAAGTGAGTACAAGGGACTCACTTGAAAGGAGGTTTTTTTTTTTTTTTTTCTAAGTCATGGGCGTT